CACACCAGGTCTGATGCATGTCACGGATTTTCAATCCAAATATAAATATCTGTCTAATTCTCTCTGCAAATGCAGTATCTGCCTTTCTAGCTATACTTTGTCCAACTCACCCGTCGAACTATATGAGTCACAAAGTCCGGTGCGCCCTAGGAGATGAATAGTTTTAAAATTTGGGCACTTTTTAAGTCTTTTAACGATATAAATCAGATTCAGAATCTTTTGTTTTCTCTTCGGTTATATGTTCACTTCTCAGATGGTTTTGTTGCGTTCTGTTTTGACTTTCAGTTGTAAATGTCTGTCCTTATCTGAATGAGCAAGAATGGGCTGTTCCTGAAGTTGTTGGAAGAGTTGATTGTAGGAGATTCGTCGATTATGAGAATTCTCTAATTTATTCCTTTGAATTAATTATTACTATCATTTATTGATCACCTACAATACAACATGTACTTGCTAGAATAGGAAACAAGGGATCTCAACAACAACTGTTCTAAATTTTATCAAACCAAAAGAAGAGTCACAAGGTGAACTAGGATTACAATTTTTTCTCGAATAACAAGTGCAACATTGTACCTTTTAGTCGGCCGTTAAAAAACCACTTTTTTAAAGGATGAGTGCATTTCACTGACATCAGTGCTTTGCCTAAGTCAGAATCACATTCAACTCGTCATCGCTTGACAGCTATTGGGTTTACACCATCAAGTAAGACTGGCATACAGTCTTGTGTTCAAATGTAGCTTTACCGTAGATGTGGGCTTCCGCTATACGGCATAGTTCAAATTACGTGTAAAGTAGAATTATATTTATAAGGAAATGATCAGTGTGCCGGTTTTAGCTTTTCTAAATTTTACTCTTCAATTCTTTTTTCGAAACATCTCTGTCACAGACAAGCAGAAAGAAATGTTTTGGTTGTTTTTACATACCTTATCTGGCAGCGGCTGCAGTTGAAAGTGCTCGTTGACAGTTGCGAGCTTAATTTGTGCCTTCGATTATCACCCATATGATGATTAATCAGGTTCGGCTGCACCGATTCACCTTTTCATGCATATTTTTCTAAGCCCGACTACCACTTCATATGTGAATTGGGTGTTATTGAAAGAAGAGTTTTGAAGGGTCTTACTTGTTTCTCAAGTATTTTAAGAGTGTTATTCCCAGGTAAATACGTCTAGTATAATTGATATAGTGAATTGAAAAGTTCAAACCAGTGGAATGCCGTTGGCATCACAACTAGGTAGAACAGGGGTGCTTTCACGAGCTGTTCCTATTCTTCATTGGATAGTCCATATAGGACTCGGATCAGCTGTAATCTATCAAATTCCACTTGTTTCTACATGGCCTTCGACTTTTCCAGCACGGTTAGAATTTGCAAGGTTGCACTGTTAATTGTGTAAGCGGTTGGTTACGTGCGATATTTTTTTAAAAGAAAAGCTCTTGGAGGCAACTTGAGCCAAAAGTTTGTTATTTCGTTA